AACTCAAATGCAGATCTTCTGGCTCAGAGGCATCGAAAGTGTTCTTTTTGTTACAAAGCCAAGTTTTACAGATGATACTGTTTAGAAATGTAATATCCAATGAGTAGGATTGTAGCAGACTTCAGCAGGACATAGAAAAAAATAACAAAATGGGCAGATTCTTGGCAAGTGCAATTTAATGTAGTTAAATGCAATATGATACACCTTAAGATGAACCAATACTAACAACCTGCATTGTATGGAGAACCACAGGACAAATATTCACAAAAGGGTTTTGAAGGTAGCAGAACATGTTGATAAGGCAATTAAGAAACCTAACAGGATATATAAAACACCACAGCACAGGAATAAGCCTTTTGGCCCACCACATCTGTGCCGACCATGACACTATTATAAACTGCCTGCACATGGTCCATATCCTTCTATTCCCTGCCTGTTCACCTTTGTTAATGTATCTGTTTCTACCACCTCCCCTGGCAGCGCGCTCCAGGCTTCTATCATTCTCTGTGTAAAAAGCTTTCCTCATACATCTCTTTTAAAATGTTCTCCTCTCACCTCAAACTTATGCCCCTAGTATTAGGCATTTCCACCCTGGGGAAAAGATTACGACCATCCATCCTATTCATGCCTCTCATTGTTTCAGATACTTCTATCATGTCGCCCCTCAGTCTCCGATACTCTAACAAAAACAATCTAAGTTTGTCCAACTTCTCTTTATTGCTAATATACTCTAATCCAGGCAATAGCACCCACTCCAAGGCCTCCTTATATTTCTTAACGTATGGTAAAATACTCCAAATATGGTTTAACTAAAATCTCATACAGCTACAAAATGACTTACCAACTTTTAAACTTAATGCCCTGACCAATGAAGGCAAGAATGTTGTATACCTCCTTCAACCCTTACCACTTGCGTTGCCACTTTCAGGGAGCTATGGACTTGGGCTCCAAGATCCCCCTGTATATCAATACTCCTAAGGCTCCTGCCATTTACAGCTTTCCCTGCCTTCGTGACCAGGACATTCAATAGAGAAATCTGTAAACCTTTATAAATCACTGAGAAAGCCTCAGCGGGAGTATAGTGTACAGTTCTGGACAACATATCAAGAACATAAAAGCTCTAGAAATAGAAACAAGGGAGGTTCATTAGAACGGTATCAAGAATAAAGGAAATCAAATACACAAAAAGATTGGAGAAACTGGGATTATTGTCCTGAGAGCAGAGATGGTAACAGAGGTACTCAAAATTATAAAAGTTTTCATAAAACAAATAGGGATGAAATGTTTCTTCCGACAAGTGGGTTGGTAACTGGTGGCCACAGATTAAAAATAATTAGCAAATGAACTAGAGGGAGAACCAGGATGAATTTCTTCACATCGGGTTGTTACAATCTGGAATGTAGTACCTGACAGGATACATGAATTTTCAAAAGACAGTTGGAATTATGAGCAAAAAACTGGGATGTGGGATTAAATTGAATGGCTCTTTGCATCAGGGGAGGAGATTAAGAGGTGAAAAGATATTTTCTAGTCAGTACGCATTAGCAGTATCATAAAGAAAGCACAGAGGTTTCAATTGGTTGCTATTTCCAGTAAAATCTTCAATATATTTTTAGCATGATTCACAAACAGACCAGAGATGAAGAACATCCTGCTGGGTCTACAATCCTTAGTTAACACTTAAGAGATGAAAAGAAATATTTTCCTTGTTAACCACATTTTTTTTTACTGAACAGGCTGATAGCTTGCTGATTACTTAGACTGAAGCAAAACTTCACAGTGGAGATGAGCACTGCAGGTGCAATGAAAAATACAGCTGTCAGACCAGAAAGTATGAGTTAGTTAAGTATAAAAGTTACCATAGAATTAAAGCATTGTACTAAGTTATTGGTGTTATCTAAAAAAAAGCTGGATACATTCATTAGTTCAATCATTAGTTTCTAATGTATGGCATTTAACTTCTTAAAATCTCTTATTCTGTATTTATAAAAATCAATTCGTATAACCATGTTTTGTAGGATCAGTAGTGTTTTCTTTGACAACACTCAAATGTAACTTTTTAAGGCCATTCTCAGTGTTATTACTTTAAAAATTGAAGAAGGAATAATATCCATCATTAAAACCTGAACAATAAAGAAGTTGATTTGAACATGATAGACAGGATTTCTTTAAAAAGCGCTCAACACACCAATGCTTGCCCTGAAACATCTGTTACATAGCAATAACAGCAGTAAATGGTTTGAGAGTCGTAGAGACATGGAGTTACACAGCATGAAAACAGACTCTTCGGTCCAACTCGCCCACGCTGACCAGATATCCGAAACTGATCTATCCCATTTGCCAGCATTTCAACCATATCCTTCTAAACCGATTGCTATTCATATGTCCATCCAGATGCCTTTTAAATGTTGTAATTGTACCCACATCCCCAACTTCCTCTGGCAGCTCATTCCATCCACGCAGAATTGTGTGTGAAAAAGTTGTCCCTCAGGTCCCTAATAAATCTTTTCCCTCTCACCTTAAACCTATGTCCTTTAGTTTTGGACTCCCCCTCCCTGGGAAAAAGACCTTGGCTATTCACTCTATTTCCCCTCATGATTTTCTAAGCTTCTAAAAGGTCACCCCTCAGCTTCTGATACTCCAGGGGAAAGAAGCCCCAGCCAATTCAGCTTCTCCCTGTAGCCCAAACCCTCCAACCCTGGCAACATCTTTGAAAACATTTTCTGAAACCTTTCAAGTTTAACAAGGAGACCAGAATTGAATGCAGTATTCTAAAAGTGGCTTCATCAATGTCCTGTACAGCCTCAACATGACATCCCAACTCCTACACTCAATGCACTGAACAATAAAGGCAAGCATGCCAAACATCTTCTTCATTATCCTATCGACCTGGGACTCCACTTTCAAGGAACTATGCATCTGCAGCCCAAGGTCTCTCTTTGGCAACACTGCACAGGGCCCTACCATTAACTGTATAAGTCCTACCCTGTTTTGTGTTACCAATATGCAACACCTCACATTTATCCAAATTAAACTTTATCTGTTACTCCTCAGCCCATTGGTCCATCTGATCAAGGTCCCATCATACTCTGAGATAATCTTCTTCACCATCCATTGCACCACCAATTTTGGTGTCATCTGCAAGCTTACTAACCATACCTCCTATATTCACATCTAAATCATTTATATAAATGACAAATGGTACACGTCTGGTCACAAGACTTCAGTCTAAAAAACAACCCTCCATCACTATCCTCTGTCTCCTACCTTCAAGCCACTTTTGTATCCAAATGGCTAGCTCCCTCTGGATTCTACGTAATCTAACCTTGCTAACCAATCTATCTTTTGGAATGCCTTGCTGAAGTCCAAATAGAAAACGTCTACCGCTCTCCTTCATCAAACTTCTTTGTTACTTCTTCAAAAACTCAAGTTAGTGAGACTTGATTTCCCACACATGAAGCTATGTTGACTCCCCAATCAGTTCTTGCCTTTCCAATTACATGTAAATCCTGTCCCTCAGAATGCCCTCCAACAACTTACTCATCTCTGACACCAGGTTTACTCGTATATAGTTTCCTGGCTTTTCCTTAACACTTTTCTTAAATAATGGCACCACATTAGCAAACTCCAGTCTTCTGACATGTTACCTTTGGCTATTGATGATACAACTACCTCTGCAAGGGGCCCAGCAATCTCTTCCCTAGCTTCCCACAAAGTTCTGGGATACAACTGATCAGGTCCTGGGGATTTATCCACCTCTCTGAGTTTGAAGATGTCCAGCACCTCCTTTTCTGTAATATGGACATTTTTCAAGATGTCACTATTTATTTCCCCAAGATCCTTAGCCTCCATATCCTTCTGCACAGTAAATACTGACTCGAAATACTTGTTTTGTATCTCACTTATCTCCTGTGGCTCCATAAACAGCCTTGTTGATCTTTAAAGAGCCCTATTCTCTCCCTAATTTCTCTTTTTCCATTAATGTATTTGTAGAATCTATTTTACTGAGCCAAATTGCCACTTCTGTTGCCAATATTAAAGACATGCAGTTGTTTTGAGCTATAATGCTATAGCTAATGGGCAGTATCCTGAACTGCAAAGCTACACTTCTGAAATTGATTACAAATATTACCAAGGGCAACCAGGTGACTTATCCCAAGTGAAGGAGTCCAGGTTTCAGCATTCCACAGAAAATGTGGTCAACCTTCACCACTTGAAACCATGCCAGAGAAGACGTGACTAAACACTCCCCAAGTGGAACATGAGGAGCAGCTAAATTGTAACTGTGGCCATCCAATCTGAGCATTCCCCATTAACTGAGTTTCTGTCTTGAGTCCCCTGTTCTTGATGGCAACACAACGAATCACTTTGTGCAGGTGAAGTTCCTGAACGGATTGTTAACCTCGACATCGAACTATTGAGTGCTTTCCCAGGCATTAAAAAAAAACTGAAGAGATTATTCTTTCTGTCTTTACAACCGATGCACCTCCAACCTTCCCACTGAGAACTAAGGGCGCTTCCTTAAATCGAGAGAACAAAGCTAGATCTAGTTTCCTAGCGTTATTAAAGTCGATGGACGACTTGACTATCATTTTGGGTTTTCCAAACCGAACACTTTCCGCACGTTGCACCCGCCTGCAAAGTGGGCAAAGTGTTGGTCACCTCCTGAAAGTAAATCACGGGCAGCTGGCTATAAGTGGCGTGGTTCCGAGAGCAGGCTGCTGGCTGGAAGGAGTCGTCTTTATTGATTAATGAAACATCACCCAGTGGGCATGTATCAAGTTTACTGCTTAGCCCCGTTTGCATCACTCGCTTTATGAAATAGATACATTACGATCCAATGTACTTATTTACACCACACCGTCACACAAACTGATGCTAGCACTATACTCTGAAATGTAATACTGTATGTGCTGTTTCTTAAACAACGCCGGTTTAAAATATTGCTTTGCAAATCCAGGCCTATACTAAAGCAAATGAGACGAGTCTGTGTTCCCTACCTTTCGAAAATCAGTCGAACCATAAAAATGCAGAAAGCCAGAGGAAAGGCCAGGTAGAGATCTTCCGCCTGCGGGAAAGTGGCTTCGTCCGTGTTTTTCAGGTCTGCCCAGGTTACGTTGTGGGGCAGCCAAAACCTCTCGTTCCAGAACCAAGCTAGGATACCTGCCATGTTCAGTGCTTGCTTGTACGACTGGGGACGATTGAATGGCTTGTGGTTGCAGCTGCTGAACGCTGCCTGGATCGCTCCTAATTCTCTATGTCTCTCTCTCTTTCTGCTTGATGCACTTGGCCTGACTGGGTCGGTCGGATATACTACAGATTTCGCCTCTTCCCTTTCTTTCTCTCGTCTCTCCCTCTCTCTAACACACACACATTGTGTCGTCTACCTCCAATGGGAAGTGTCACACACCATCCACTCTGCACCAAGTGATTGGCTCCCACAACTGTCGCACACCATTCACCACAGCAAAAAGGAAAGTCTACCTACGGGTGAAAGTCAATGCACCATGTTATAGATGATCAAAGCAGATTGTTTTGAGTAATAAAAAAAACAAAATGTGATCTTCCAGTTCACGATTTATGCATGACCGACAGCGATAAAGACGGGAAAATATATTAATCACAGCCACAGATTTTTATTATATTCAGAAACACCTAATAATTTTGCCATAACAATAATAGCCGAATCTTGCTCACTATAATAGGATGAATAATACCAGGCACAATATTGTATGTTTACGGAAGCAATCATGACAATGCAAGTAAAATAAAAATGTATTTTTTTAAAGGTGAAACATTCTTTTCTAATAAAAAAAATTCAGATCACTTCTTTCCTGTTTATTGTTCCAAAGTTAATATTTTAGGAGTATATTTTGATCATTTTGGCTCATCCAAAGTCCGGCTTTTTTTTTGTAAATGCATACATTTAGATGGATCAATTAATTATATTTTCTTTAGTGTAATGTAGTTTGAGGTTTAATCTACTTCCTGCATATTTCTGTTAATCAGCTTACTCGATCTTCCCTGCAGTGCAGATGTGACTGCATTTCAAAACAGGCTGTTGGCTGCGAAAAAGAAAGATTTGCATTTATATAGCACCATTCATGACTTCAGGCAATCCCAAAGCACAGTTGATGAAGTACGTCCTCTGGTAATGTTGTAAATGCAGCAGAAAGGTCCCGCAAACAGCAATGAAATTCGACGAAACAATCTGTTTCGGTGATATGGTTGGATACACATTGGTCAGAACACCTGAAAGAACTCCCTGTTATTTTTCAAAATAAGACCGAGTGATAGTTTGCATCCACCTGAAATAGTAAATCAAGTCTCGGTTTAACATTTTATTCAACAGAAATCAGCTCATTACTGAACTGCATTGCCAGACTAAATGTTTTCTCAAGTCTGCGGAATGGACCTTGAACTTACAACCTTTTGATTCTGATTTGAGAGTGCTGCCTCTGAACCTGTTACCATTGAGCCATGACTGCAACTTTGGCAAGTGAAGCACTTTGGGATATTGTGAGATGATGAAAGTACTCTATGAATGCAAATCAAATTCCTTTCATAAAATATAGGAAAAGTTCAGGTGGATCCACTGTTTTTGTCAGCACAAAAAACAGTGAATAATTAGCATTCAAATTTGACATTTTATTGTTCACTGATCTAATTGCATCACCACTATCAATTTGCTATAGATGAGAAAGAAAATTAAATCAAGATACTTTGAAAGGGATTTTCATCAAGTGAATCCCTAGAAGAGTATAAAGGCAGTAGGAGAATACTTCAGAGGGAAATCAGGAGGGCAAAACAGGACATGAGATAGTTTCAACAAACAGGGTTAAGGGGAATCTAAAGGGATTCTACAAACACATTACAGACAAAAGGGTAACTAGGGAGAGAATAGGGCCATTTAAAGAGCAACAAGGCCACCTATGTGTGGTACCACAGGACTTGGGGAGATACTAAATGAATATTTTGCATCAGTGTTTACTGTGGAGATGGATATGGAAGGTGGAGAACGTGGGGAAATAGATAGCAACATCTTCAAAAATGTCCATACTACAGAGGAGGAGGTGCTGGATGTCTTAAAGCACATAAAGATAGATAAATCCCCAGGACGCAATCAGGTGTACCCTACAACTCTATGAGAACCTAGGAAAGTGATTGCTGGGCCCCTTGCTGAAATATTTGTGTCATCAAGAGCCACAGATGAGGTGCTGGAAGACTGGAGGTTGGCTAATGTGATGCCGCTGTTTAAGAAAGGTGGTAAGGAAAAGTCAGGGAACCATAGACTGGTAAACCTTATATTGGTGGTGTGCAAGTTGTTGGACAGAATCCTGAGGTTCAGGATTTACATGTATTTGGAAAGGCAAGGACTAATTGGCAATTGTCAACATGGCTTTTTGCATGGGAAATCGTATCTCACTAACTTGATTGAGATTTTTGAAGAAGTTAAAAAAGAGGATTGATGAGGGCAGAGTGGTGGACATACTCTGTATAGACTTCAGTAAGGTGTTTCGTCGTGGTAAACTGGTTAGCATGGAATACAGGATAACTAACCATTTGGATACAGAACTGGCTGAAAGGTAGAAGACACAGGGTGATGGTGGAAGATTGTTTTTCAGACTGGAGACAGTGACCAGCAGTGTGCCACAAGGATCAGTACTGGGTCCACTGCTTTTCCTCACTTATTTAAATGATTTGAATAAATATAGAAGGTATGGTTAATAAGTTTTCAGGTGGCACCAAAATTGGATGTGTCGTGGACAGCGAAGAAGGTTACTTCAGAGTACAATGGGATCTTGATCAGATTGGTCAATGGGCCAAGGAGTGGCAGATGGAATTTAACATAGATAAATGTAGTTGCTGCATTTTGGAAAGGCAAATTAGGGCAGGACTTGTACACCTATTGGTAATATCCAGGGGAGTGTTGCTGAACAAAGAAACCTTGGAGTGTAAGTTCATAGTTCCTTGAAAGTGGAGTCGCAGGTAGATAGGATAATTAAGAAGGCATTTGGTAAGTTTGCCCTTATTGGACAGTGCATTGAGTATAGGAGTTGGGAGGTCATGTTGTGGCTGTACATGACACTGTTTAGGAAACTTTTGGAATACTGCATGCAATTCTGGTCTCCCTGCTGTAGGAAGGTTGTTGTGAAACTTAAAAGGATTTAGAAAAGATTTACAAAGATGTTGCCGGGTTTGGAGGGTTTGAGCTAAAGGGAGAGGCTGAGTAGGCTGGGACTGTTTGCCCTGGAACATCGGAGCCTGAGGGTGACCTTATAGAGGTTTATAAAATCATGAGGGGTATGGATAGGGTAAATAGGCAAGGTCTATTCCTCTGGGTGGGGGAGTTCAAAACTAGATGGCACAGGTTTAAGGTGAGAGGAGAAAGATGTAAAAGCAGCCCAAGGTGCAATCTTTACATGCAGAGGGTGGTGTGTATCTGGAATGAGCTGCCAGATGAAGAGGTGGCGGCTGGTACAATTACAACATTTAAAAGGCATCTGGATGGGTACATGAATAGGAAGGGTTTGGAGGGATATGGGCCAAATGCTGGCAACTAAATTAATTTAGGATATCTGGTCGGCATGGACGAGTTGGACTGAAGGGTCTGTTTCCGTGCTGTACATCTCCATGACTCTATGACTCTAATTTTGCATTTAATTTCATTAACCACCCATAAAATTATGCAACCAAAGCCTTTTGGCACTGAGCTGCATATGGCCTTGTGTTTTTAAAAAAAACTTCAAAAAAAGATTTCCAATTGTTCTAATGTTCTGATTCAGTGGGAATCCCACAAATGTTGGTGGATTTTCTGCTCACTTAGCTTACTCAATCCTGGCCACCTGAAATAGCAAGGGGGTAGTATGCTAAAACAGAATTAAATAGGCAGATAAACAAAGGGTTGCTGAACTTAAAACACAGAGTCTTTTTTTTTCTCAACAGGTGTTATCAGACTGTTGTGCTTCTCCAGAACTCTCTGTTTTTGTTTCAACTAAATGGATAGAGTCATGGAGTCGTACAGCACGGAAGCAGACTCTTCAGTCCAACTCGTCCATGCCAACTAGGTTTGCCAAACTAAACTATTCCCATTTACCTGTGTTTGGACTATATCCCTCTAAACCTTTCCTATCTATATACCTGTCCAAATGTCTTTTAAATGTTGTAACTGTAACCTGCATCTACCACTTCTTCTGGCAGTTCATTCCATATATGAACCACTCTCTGTGTGAAAAATCTGCCCCTCAGATCGCTTTTAAATCTTTCCCCTCTCACCTCAGAACTATGCCCTCTAGTTTTGAACTCCCCTACCTTAGGAAAAAGACCTTTGTTATTCACCAAATCCACGCCTCTCATGATTTTATAAACCTTTACCCCTCAACCTCCTATGCTCTAAGGAGAAAAGCCCCAGCCTATCCAGCCTCTTCTTATAACTTAAAGCTCTAGTCCTGGTAACACCCTTGTAAATCTTTTCTGCACCCTTTCCAATTTAGTAATATGCTTCCATAGCAGAGCAACCAGAACTGTACACAGTAGTCTAAAAGGGCTTCACCAATGGGCTGCATGGCTGCAAAATGACATCTCTTATCCCACACTCAGTGGCCTGACCTAAAGTTCATAATTTAAGGTTATGGCCTAAAGCTGAAATTAATGTTGAGTCCAGAGGATGTAGCATACTCACTCAAAAGATAAGGTCATTACATTGAGCTTGCGTTGAGCTTTGCTGGAACACTGTAAATAGACAGGTGGGAGAATTAAATTGTGACATATATGATTTTCACTTTTTGTCAATTTCACCACTGAATGTGATACAATTAATCATTTTTTTATTGTTATGGCCATGGACAACCCTGAATCATCTGTGGACATATCAATCTTTGATTATAACATGTGATTTGTTTCTTTAAATGACACATAGCCAAAAATTCACTGCTGATGTAAATGCAGTGGCTACCTCAAGCAAGAGACTCTGGAATGCCACATCTGATGAGGCATCAAAAAAAGCCTCAAAGGGAGAATTACAAACTGAATTTGTAATCTCCTGGGAGTATCTCAGACCATGAATATGATGGTTAAAAAAAAGTCTATTGTGAAATGTATTTGCCTTTTCTGTTCTTTGAAGAACACAATGGAAAAAGTGTTGAAAGTAAATTTCAACCTTGGTCTGTGTGTTAGTGACCTGATGTTCTAATGTGTGGATTAGTGTGTTATGAAGATCACAGCTCCAAGGACAGGCATGTAAACATTTCTGCACTGCTTGTAAAGAAATAGAAAAAGACACTCTAAGAGCCTGGGTTCTGCTAACCAACCAGTGCCATAGGGATTCAGGATAGAGGAGTGTCAATGAACCTATAAAACCAAGAATTTTGAAATAGAC